AGAATCAGAAAAATAGAGGTTATTGGTGACATAAAAATGTGCAAATCAACAGCTATGAGATAATTCACGCTTGGAAGGAGCTCATATTTGATTGTTTTTAGAGGCAAAAAAGAATTTTCGTCTTCAAATTTAAAAATTTTCCCTGTGTCATTGCTGTCTATGAAAGTGCTGTTACCATATGGATTAAACAATGCCAAATTAAACCCACAGCTGATTTTTAATTCCAATGCTCTCAGATTTTCATCTTTTAGATCCATCATTAGTATTGCTCTAGGCTTATCTGATGCAAAACTGTGGAGTCCTGGAAATTTTAGACCCTTTCTCATTAGTCTGACAACTATTTCATTAGTGCTGTGACTCTTCTAAAGAATTTCCAATTTTTTCACATCCCTCCTGAGTCTCAGAGCCTGAAAATAATGGATGCTGAGAGGAAATGGAATAATTACAGGCTGACTTTACAGTCAGATACTTCTTTCTAAAAAACAAAACAAAACAAAACAAAACAAAAAAATGAACCCACGAAAATGCCAAGGACCCTTACCTTGGCTCAAGCCAGAGGAAAAAAAAGGTGGTCAGAACTTCTTCACTGGCCCACTTACACAGTATTCCAATTATAGTGGATATTAGTGAAGGCCAACGTCACCCAAGCCAATCAACTTTAAAGTCTTTCTAATGTATTCCTGGAAAGGTTATTATTTTTCAGCTCATAAGAATTAAGGCACAAATGAAGGCTATAAATAAACTCAGGTAATGACATTCCAATTATGATAGGCTATTTATGGGGGAAAAAAATTGTCTTTGAGAAAATTTGTATATTGTTTAAAATAAATAATAACAAAAATATTAGCTCAAAATTGAATATCTAATGAAAAAGGTAGATGCTATGTTTAAAATAGTATAATATACTATCAAATATTAACAATAATGCCCAAAATATCCTTTTCAATAACAAACATTTAAAACGCAGATTGCATTGGAATATTTTTTTATATTCAGTATTATTTTATATTAGTTTTAGATGTGCATCATAGTGGTTAGATATTTATATAATTTATGAAATTATCCTCTTGATTAGTCTAGTACCTCCTTGGCACTTGCATAGTTATTACAATATTATTGACTGTATTCTCTATGCTGTACTTTACATCCCTATGACTATTTTGTAACTACCAATTTGTACTTCTTAATCCCTTCACCTTTTTCACCCACCCTCCCAACACTCCCTTCCATCTGGCAATTATGTTTGTTCCCCGTATCTATGAGTCTCTTTTCATTTTGTTTGCTTATTTTGTTTCTTAGATTCCACATAAGTGAAATCATGTTATTTGTCTTTGTCCATCTGACTTATTTCACTCAGCATAATACCTTCTAGGTATTTTTTATGGCTGAGTAATATTCCATTTTATATATGTATCACGCTTCTTTATCCAATTGTCTGTTGATGGGCACTTAGATCGCTTCCATATCTTGGCTATTGTAAACGGTGCTGCAGTGAACATAGGGGTACATATATATTTTTGAATCAGGCTTTTTGATTTTCTTTGATAAATACCCATAAGTGCAATTGCTGGGTCATAAGTAACCAGAAGTTGCTTGGTCATAAGGTAGTTCTAGTTTTAATTTATTAAGGAACTCCCAAACTGTTTTCCCTAGCGGCTGTATTAATTTGCAATCCCAATAACAGTGCACAAGGGTTTCCTTTTCTCCATACCCTTGCCAACACTTTTTTGTAAATTTCTTGATGACAGCCATTCTGACAGGTGTGAGGTGATGTCTTATTATGGTTTTAATTTGCATTTATCTGATCAGTGAGATTGAGCCTCTTTTCATATGTTTATTAGTTATCCGTATGTCGTCTTTGGAGAAATGCCTATTCAGATCTTCTGTCCATTTTAATAATATTAATTCTTCCTATCCTTGAGCACGATATATGTTTACATTTATTTGTATATTCAACTTCTTTTCTCAATGTCTTATAATTTTCTGAGTACAAGTCTTTTACTTCCTTGGCTACATTTATTCCTAGGTATTTTATTGTTTTTAATGCAATTGTAAATGCGATATTTTTTCTTAATTTCTCTTTCTGATAGTTCATTATTGGTGCATAAAAATGAAACTGATTTCTAAACATTTATTTTGTATCCTGCTACTTTACTGAATTCATTTATCAGTTCTAACAGTATTTTGGTAGAATCTTTAGGGTTCTTTGTATATAGTGCTATGTCACCTGAAAATAATGACAGTTTTATGACTTCCTTTCCAATTTGGATGCCTTATTTTTTTTTCTTTTTCTTATCTGATTATTGTGGTTAGGACTTCCACTGTGTTGGATAAAAGTGGTGAAAGAGAAAATCCTTGTGTTGTTCCTTATTTTAAGAAAAATACTCTTAGCTTTTCCTCATTGAGTATGATGTTAGTTGTGAGTTTGTCATATATGGCCTTTATCATAATTCTTAATATACTACAATCTAGTTCAGATCCATACCAACTTAATTTCAATAGTATATAAAAATTTGTTTATATATATATAATTTTATTCCCTCTCCTTTATGCTGTTATTGTAACAAATCACATCTTTATTCATTATAATCACATCAACATAGATGTATAATTATTGCTTTATGTAGTTGTCTTTTAAATCAGTTGTCATCCTTACTGGTGCTTTATTTCTTCATATTGATTTAAGTAACTATTTAGTGTTCTTTCATTTCAGCCTGAAGAATTCCTTTTAAAATTTCTCATATGATAGATCTGGTGGCAACAAACATTCCCAGTTATTGTTTATTTTGGAGCGCTTTATTTTTTTTTTCTTTTTTAAGTACAGTTTTTTCTAAATATAAAATTCTTGATTGATAGTTGTTTTTCAGTACATCGAATATGTCATCCCACTGTCTTATAGCCTCTACTGTTTCCAATTAGAAATCTGACCTTAATCTTATTGAGAATTCCTTTATAAATGACTTGCTTTTCTCTTGCTGCTTTCAATATTCTTTATTTGGCTTTGGCTTTTGATTATATGGCTAGATGTGGATTATTTCTTTCTACTTAGAGTTTATCGAACTTCTTTATTTACAGATTAAATGTTTTTTCATAAAATTGAGGGTTTTTTGACATCTTTTCTTTAAATATTTGTCTGTCCTTTCATATCCTCTATTTCTAGGACTCCCATAATCTGTATGTTGGTATACTTAACAATGTCCCAGAGGTCTCTGAGGTGCTTCTCATTTTTCTTCATTCATTTTTCCTTTCTGTTCCTTGAAGTGGCTAATTTCAGTTGTCATATCTTTAAGTTATTAATTCTTTATTCTGCCTGTTTAAATTTGTTCGAGTACATTTTTCTCCCCTCTAGTGATTTTTCCCCTTTCAGTTATTATGCTTTTCAACTCCAGTATTTATAAATGGTTCCTATTTTATAATTTTTGCATTTTTATTGACATTATCTATTTGGTTTGAATTATTTTCATTCTTTTAGTTCTTTAGACATGGTTTTCTTTAGATTTTTAAACATATTGAAAACAATTGTTTCAAAACATTTTTTTTCTAGTAAATCCAATTGTGTTTCCTCAGGGACAGTTTCTATTTATCATTTTTTGTTTGTTTGTTTTTATACCAGTTTATAGGCTTTACTTTCTAGTTTTTTTGCATATCTCATATTTTAGTCGTAAACTTAATTTTTAAAATAATTTAATGTAGCAGATCTGGAAATATGATTCTCTGTCTCTCTCACCAGAATCTGTTTTTGGCACTGCTTGTTGTACTAGTTGCTGTTAGTTTGTTTAGTGACTTTTCTGAACTAATTTTGTATGACCTTCTATATTCTTTGTTATGGATGGCCACTAATGCCTCTACTAGGTTAGCTTAATAGTCAGTGAATAGTTGAATAGAGATTTCCTTAAATACCTAGAACGAATAAATTTCCTAGTCTATACTAAAGGGTTTTGTTGCCTGTTAAAACATGTCTTCAACACTCACTTAGGAAGTTTATAACTGTCCCATAGCCTTCATTTTCTGCTTGTTCAGAGCTTCAAGGCTAGCCAGATGTACGAACTTTTGGCCTTCTCATGCCTTTCCTGAGTATGCACACAGCTCTATACATGTCTGTGGCTTTCTAGAGTTCTAGGAATGTGTCAGAGCTTTTCAAAGTCCCTATAGAAATCTCATTTCTCAGATTTTCCTTTTAATTTTTTGGCTAGTCTCTTGTTTCTGTCAACTGTTATTCATTGTCTCAAGCAGCTGTGCAACAAATCATGTTCCTTCTCTCGGGAGAGTTTTAACATCGAGTAACCATTAAAGACAAGCTTTTTGAGTAGGATCTTTCAGGGAACTGCCGCACAAGTCAAATAATGACCATTGTTTAGAAATTAAATTTGTTCTGCTTACTTCAGCACCTGAAATTGGATTTATTTTCAAGGCTATTACTGGCCTGGTGAGAGTTGATGGGGCTAGGCTAAGTTAAAATGCCACAAAACTTATAGTTCCTAACAAGACTGGGATGTTTTTCTTCCATATATGCTCATTGGGTTGATGCAAATTTTGGCTAATTTCCCAAATTCTTAGGAATTTATTACAGAAATATTACCAATTATTTTACTGCTCTTGTAATAAGGTAAATATTCATAGGTCATTACTCTACCATTTCCACTGACATCATCCACAGCCATCTTCTTTGTGATATTTCCTAAGTTTCTCTCAAGATAATAAATAGATAAAAATTAGTTAGCAGTTATTAAAAACATGTTTTTCTATCCAAATTGAAAAATCTTCTGTACTTTAGCTACACATTCCTTGGAGGTCTATGAACCTTGAGTTAATAATCTTGCCTTAGAATGATTCGAGAGATGAACAGGCAACACACAACTTTCCACCACTATGAGGGAAGTGTTGAGACAGGTCCAAGTATGGACCCTACTGGTATTTACTTAGTTCTCAATTTTCCTAGGGCATTTAACTGTTCTCTCAAAAGTGTCAAAAATCTTGACTGAGCTTTCTTTTTCTTGCAGACTCCTCAAAGTCACTTGAAACCAAGACTGAGGCACTTACAACCATGAAATTCCACTTGGAAGGTAAGTTTCACTAGGGCTATTTTGGAGAAGGAGAAGTCTCAAGTGGTGTCATGGAAGCCAAGGGAGAAAGCCCAATGCCATTAGATGGGTAATCAGAGGTCAGTGGGCTCCTCATAGAGAACATGGAAATAAAGTGATGGAAATAAAATACCTTCCATGGAAATATTCACACTCTCTCTTTGCGCAAACTTCTAAGGCAAAAGGAAAGAGAGACTTAGAATACCCCCATGGGAAAAGAGAAAACTGTGATTTCTATTTTGTTCCTAGTCTGACTTTCTGTGAGACTTTACATAAGTTGCCTCCCCTCTATAGGCCTTATTCTCACCCCCATCAGTAAGAAACTAAGATATTTCACCTCATAGTACTAGTGAGCAATGGCATGACCAGGAATTTGGGGAAGCTTAGTACAGATGCCCAGAGAAGGATCCTAAACTTTGCAGTCATT